AATATGAAAATAGATCTGATTAGTTTTTTGGTGTTCAGGGTAAATGTCAAGGCAGCCATTTTTGATTTTCTGTCTTAAAATCTTGTCTGTAAAGTCTTGTCTACGCATTTCCAGGTGAACCGTTTGGTAGATCAATTTCAAATTTTCAGGGATGATTCTTAGTATGAAAATCTAAATTTGATTAGTTTTTTGGCACTCTGGGTAATTGTCAAGGCAGCCATTTTGGATTTTCCGTCCTAAAATCTTGGCTGTAAAGTCTTGTCTATGCGTTTTCAAGTGAACTGTTTGGTAGATCAATTTCAAATTTTCAAGGATGATTCTTAGTATTAAAATCTTGAACTGATTAGTTTTTTGACATTCTGGGTAAATGTCAAGGCAGTCATTTTGGATTTTCCATTCTAAAATCTTGTCTGTAAAGTTTTGTTTACATGTTTTCTGGTTAACTGTTTGATGGATGAACTTCAAATTTTCAGGGGTGGTTCTTAGTATGAAAATCTAGAACTAACTAATTTTTGGGCATTCTGGGTAAATTTCTATGGCGGCCATTTTGGATTTTCCGTCCTCAAATTGTGTGTTCTTGTCTAGTTAGCTCACATGGTGAGCTTTTGCAATCACTCACTTGTCCGTCTGTCTGTCCGTCCGTCCGTCTGTACATCCATCCGTCTGTACGTCCGTTTGTCCGTCAACAATAGTGGCACGTTTTAAAACCTCTGTCGATAGGATTCCTGTTTTAAGTTATTTCTGTTCAACATCAATACAGAAAACCCCCCTATGACTCCTGGTTCAAAAGCTCGCCTATTTTCAAAATGGCCGTCACTTTTGTCTCGCGAAATTCACTTTTGGCCCATTTCCTAGCTTTACAAATAATTTCAGGTGTCCTACATTGTAAAAATCCATGTCAATGTAAAGATTAGATATATGAAATAATTTTTTTACAAAAAATCATATTTTAGTTAACATTGATTTGTCTATCTGACTCGCGAAATCCACTTTCTGTCAATAACAGTAGCACGTTTTAAAACCTCTGTCGATAGGATTCCTGTTTTAAGTTATTTCTGTTCAACATGAATTCAGAAAACTCCCCTATGACTCCTGGTTCAAAAGCTCGCCTATTTTTAAAATGGCCGCCATTTTTGTCTCGCGAAATTCACTTTTGACCCATTTCCTAGCTTTACAAATAATTTCAAGTGTCCCACATTGTAGAAATCCATTGCAAAGTAAAGAATAGATGTATGAAATAATTTTGTTACAAAAAATCAGCGAAAAATTATATCCATTTTTTTATTTTCAGCCATTTTAGTTAACATTGATTTGTCCATCTGTCTCGCAAAATTCACTCGCAAAATTCACTATTGGACCATTTACCTTAAACCCTCTGTCGATAGGATTCCCATTTTAAATTATTTTTGTTCAACATCAATACAAAAAACTCTCCTATGACTCTTGGTTCAAAAGCTCGGCTATTTTCAAAATGGCCGTCACTTTTGTCTCGCGAAATTCACTTTTGACCCATTTCCTAGCTTTACAAATAATTTCAGGTGTCCTACATTGTAAAAATCCATGTCAATGTAAAGGGTAGATATATGAAATAATTTTGTTACAAAAAATCACCGAAAAATTGTATCCATTTTTTTTATTTTCAGCCATTTTAGTGAACATTGATTTGTCTATCTGACTCGCGAAATCCACTTTCTGTGGCACGTTTTAAAACCTCTGTCGATAGGATTCCTGTTTTAAGTTATTTCTGTTCAACATCAATTCAGAAAACTCCCCTATGACTCCTGGTTCAAAAGCTCGCCTATTTTCAATATGGCCGCCATTTTTGTCTCGCGAAATTCACTTTTGACCCATTTCCTAGCTTTACAAATAATTTTAAGTGTCCTACATTGTAAAAATCCATGTCAATGTAAAGAGTAGATGTATGAAATAATTTTGTTACGAAAAATCAGCGAAAAATTATATCCATTTATTTATTTTCAGCCATTTTATATAGTTAACATTGATTTGTCCATCTGTCTCGCAAAATCCACTTTTCACTCTACTATACCTTGCATTTGGCTTTCATGAGCAACCCATTTGGCTTATTAGTAATGATTATATATTTGTTTTTATTTGTCTGTTCCTTATTAATGGTTTATCGGTTGAAAGTTAGATGTTGATAAGGTACTTTCAAAATTATACTAAACAATCCAATTAGACAAACAAAGTATCTTATGCATTTCTAGGTGTTAGGTATAGTAGTGTGCTTTTGGACCATTTACCTTAAACCCTCTGTCGATAGGATTCACATTTTAAGTTAATTTTGTTCAACATCAATACCAAAAACTCTCCTATGACTCTTGGTTCAAAAGCTCGCCTATTTTCAAAATGGTTGCCATTCTTGTTTCGCGAAATTCACTTTTTGCCCATTTCCTAGCTTTACATTTTAGCTTTAATTTCAGCTGTCCTGCATTGTAAAAAGCCATGCCTCTGTTAAAGGTAGTTGTATGAAATAATTTTGTTACAAAAAATCAGCAAAATATTATATCCATTTTTTTTATTTTCAGCCATTTTTGTTAACATTAATTTGTCCATCTGTCTCGCGAAATCCTCTTTTGGACCATTTGCTCAAAACCTCTGTCGATAGGATTCCAGTTTCAAGTTATTTTTGTTCAACATCAATACAAAAAACTCCCTTATGACTCCTGGTTCAAAAGCTTGCCTGATTTCAAAATGGTCGCCATTTTTGTCTCGCGAAATTCAATTTTGGCCCATTTCCTAGCTTTACAAATAATTTCAGGTGTCTTGCATTGCAAAAAGCCATGTCACTGTAAAGAGTAGTTGTATGAAATAATTTTGTTACAAATTATTGGCAAAAAATTATATCGGTTTTTTTTTCATCCATTTTAATTGACTGAGAGACAGATGGCTTGATATAATTTTGTAACAAAAAATCAGCAAAAAATTATATCCGTTTTTTTCTGTCACCATGTGAGCCCAGTACCCATGGTACTAATTTTTTTTTATTATTTCTTACCGAACAATGATTTTGCATAGTTTGCGATCTTGTTCAATATCTATTATGTACCTGTTTCAAATCCTAGTTTCATGCACTTACAATAAACTGTATACATGTAGTCACAGAGAATATTTAGTCTGTAATATATTCAACAAGATAAGTTGATTTATTGGAATGGCACACTCGAGGACTGCTTAAAATCATTGTGAAGCTACTGGTATTTAAATTCAAGTCCCGATTCAAGTATTGAAAATATCCATTGTCACTGATGTTTCATTATCATATGTATGGTCTATCATTTGAATTTCTTTCATTACATGTATATCCACTATTGAACTATCTGCTGTTTGCCTGCAACGGGCGTATAGAAGCTGATTGAGCAAGGCCGCCTTATGCAAATGTATGACGTGTAAGGCCAGACCAAAGGCGAATGAACTCTGTAATATCAGGAAAGTGAGCAGTCCCATAATTGGCTCACATAGTGAGCCTATGGGATCGACCAGGCGTCTGTTGGTCCGTCCGTCCGTCAACATTGGCCGCACAAATTAAAACTGCTATTCGGATTGAGTCATATCCACATTCATTTTATGCATATCCGTAATGCCTATTTGACCTATCATCGCCATTTCACAAGTTCGCCCGGTTTCCGAGAAATTGCGGATTTTGACGTCAAAAAGTCAAATTTTCTGTAAATACTAGACACTTTGTTGAAGTAGAACTTTCAAATAACTTTTAGTAGTTGCTGTATATGCAACTTATATCCTCTGAAGATTTCAAAGCTCTTGGAATTACAGTTTTTGGTTTTTACTCTATAAAATTTGACAAAAAGTAGGACTAAGTCATTTTCAAGAAACTTTCTCATGTATAAAGTCAATGGCAGGTTTTTTGATTGACAAGTTTCTCAAAGTTTGCCTTATACTTGATCATTTCTTGCAATGAATTACATCATTACTAGATTTAAGCATTCCCTACATATTGCTCAATATATGTCAGTATCAAATTTTTACCGTTTTTGTGATATTTGATGTCAAAAAACAGTAAAAATAAGTTATTTTTCAAGGTCAAAGGTCATCAAACTAGGTCACACAACTGTGCTATCTACAATCTAAGTTTCTCAAAGTTCAAGACTACAAATCCAAATCAATATTTTTGTTTGAAAGTCAGTATATACATTCCTCTGTAGGTTCCAAACTGTGTGAGCACAGGACTGTGGGTCCTTCATTTAAAATCAGGCTCTTATCTTGAGATTTAATGGTTCTTCTAATGACACTCTATCAGCAACATATTGTGTTACAAATGCACCCACTTGTAATTAAATCCAACTATTACTTGATATAAGCATGCCTGCTCTCTCAGTTGAGTATAAATGTTGATAAACGTGCACGGAAGCCAACACATACACGTGCAGACGATTCAATTTTCAGTTCAGTGTAAGAGTAAGTGCCCGGATATCGAAGCTCTAGTGTGTAGAGTTTTAATCATTCACGTAGTATCTGGTTATATTGCGTGTAGAATTTATCGATATCAGGGCCGCTACATGCCAGTGTTTGTTGTTCTACTGTTTTTCTTGAATGCACCTTGATATCGATCTTGTGAGTTATCTGTCTCAGCATTAAAAACTTATGTTATGAATCACTGAATCAAATACATTATCAATACATGCCAGGACATTAATACCTCTATAATTATCTGGATTGAATTGACTTCCTTGCTTGAAGATGGGACTGAGCATGCCAATGATCCATTGATCTGGATAGTCACCTTTATTGAAAATGTAATTAAAAAGTGTTGTCATAGGTTGGACAAGACAAGAGATTCGCTGTTTTTTATTACATCGGAAGGGTAGCCATCTGTAACACAGCGGTCATATGGGAAGCCTTCGTGTAAGCAAAGGGAGTGGTGAAACTTCATTAAAAATTCCCCCATGCTACAAAAATATCCTGGGAGATCACTGGTGATGTACAAGGACTAATCAAAGTTATTTCAAATTATTTCTTTGCAGTCTTCTCTTTAAACTGTGTAGCAGCAATCCCTAATACACCAAGATGGTTAGGGAAGATAAGGCAACCTGGAAGGCTAACTATTTCCTGAAGATTATCCAACTTTTGGATGAGTACCCAAGACTTTTCATCGTTGGTGCTGACAATGTGGGCTCAAAACAAATGCAGAATATCCGTCAGTTTATGAGAGGCACAGCAAGTGAGTAGTCTTTACTTTCAGTTCACACAAGTTAAACATATAACTTGGCCTTTATTTAAAGCCAAAATCAAAGCCAAGAGATGAACATCTATTGTCTATGCAATACCTGTAAAACTTTGGAAGATAACTTTTTTGATACCATAAGCCAATTTAATTTTGAATTCCGGCTTCATGTTATATTTAAACAGCTCATGTCCCATAAAGTTTTACATAGCAAAATTCATCTCTCACTCATTCAAAAATAGGATGAACTTTGGGTCAATGATACATCAAACTGATAGTTTTCCATTTTCTCATGCTGCTAATAATATGTCACTATGATGACATCAGTGATCACATCAAAAAAGCTTTTAATTTTGACATTTCAGGTTCTAGTATGTAATGTTTCAGATTTTGTATTAGGCATTTTTAAACTTAACATTCTAATATTCTTAAATGGTGAAAAGTTGCACTTAAATAGTTTATTTTTGATGAAGAATAAAATAAGTAGAAAGTTATTCTTAGTTTTTATTTTTGCTAATTTAAATGATCAGTTCAATGATGAAGACATTTGATGGTGAGCCTTTCTGTCACTACACCCCAGAACCTGTAATAAGGTGGACCCACTGGGGTGGACAGTAGGGCTGAGAGCAATAAACTGCTTTATCCAGCAGTCTGAGAACTAACACTTCGTAACATACACCATTCCTTTATCTATCCTTATACTGTAGATTCATTAAACAATTTTAATTTTTTCAGCTGTTCTCATGGGCAAAAACACCATGATGCGTAAAGCTATCCGTGGTCACATTGAGAACAACCCTGGCCTTGAGAAGTAAGTAACTACTCATGTAGCAGTGTCACGGTGTATAACCCAAACACTCCTACATGCACGACGGAGCGTTTCATTTACGCGGAAACGCTCCGGAGCGAAATAAAATGGCGGCTAATGAAGATTCCACTATGACTGTAAGTATTGTTCCTCTCGTTTCTCTTACATATCATATGTTATGGTGAAATATTATGTACCATTCGATGAACAATACTGTGAGCAAAGATCTGATTTATTAACTTCTGGTGGTAAGCTGTTATTTGCTTGATCAAAGCTCCGTAGTTTCGATCGAACGAATCTGAAGATGACGATTTGACCACAAATTACTAATTAAACTAGTATTTCTATGAAAACGTTAATCTTTCTGTTAAAGTAGTAGATCACAAACTCGTATATTCTCATTTCCTAAAATCCCAGTCCAAATCCATTACTTGTTCTCGAGAAATCGCTTGTTTTCCTCGAAACGCTCCGTCGATTTAGAACACAATTTTAGAAATTCTCTTACCATTTTGTTTTGATATAATTTTCAGATTATTAGAGAAGCGTTTCGAATCGAATCTATCTCTCAAAAACGTGTTGTACTTGTTAGGCAAATTGAAACATCTGAACCTGGTGGTGCTAAACGTGCAACTAGCTGATTTAAGCCTACATTAGATGATGTCATGCCTACTGTGCTAAATCATAAAACTATAGAAAAAAACGAAAATTTGTATATGAATTAATCTTTCTTCTATTGATGCCAAGGGGTATAATAGATCTTTTCTTTCTCTTCCTGAAAAGAAAAGGCAAGCTATATATTTCCTAAACTGATCTAGACTACCGGAGCGTTTCCAGTTCACTGTGTTAACCAGATCGGAGAGTTTCTTGAATATGAGAATGTCATCATTTTTAAGACTGGATTTTCGGTCATCAAATCACTATTACGATAATGTATGGTGCGTTGAAGCATTGGAATTTGACTAAAATATACGTTGGTGCTCTAATCTTAGCTCAACTTATCAGATGAATCGACAAAAGGGGTTTTGACCGGTAGAATGACAAATACGTTTTTGAATTTTGATAACTAACTGCTTCGAACAGCTCTTCCTAATTGCTTTAAACGTCAACAGCCAGCCAAGTACAACATGAATATCACACCCATCGAATGGTATACTCGAAATATGTAACTCATACCTCTTATTCCCATTATTGGGGAAATCGTCAGATGGCTCATCATTCCCGCCAGTCAGTTTTCCTACTCCGGAGCGTTTCTTTGTTTAATTTCAGTAATGAAACGCTCCGTCGTGCATGTAGGAGCATTTGGGTTATACACTGTGAGTGTAGCACCCTTGGTTGCTGTATTGTAATCAGTTTGTGAATGGCATCCCAATTAACCATGTCTACTTGTTCCCAGGCAAACTGTTTTGGGTATCAATTTCAGATTTTAAGGGATGTTTCTTTGAATGGAAATCTTAAACCAATCAGAATTTTGGCATACAATGTAATTTAAGGCAATTGTTTTGATTTTATCTTCCAAAGAACTTGCCAGTAAAGTCTTGTTCACACATTTCCAGCCAAATCTTTTAATTTAAAGTTTAAGATATTTCATAACATATAATAATTACTTTTTAAAAAACCCAGCAGCTTGCATCGGCTTAGGAGACACCATTAAAATGTTTATCTTACTGAGAACTGGCTAGAGTATGTTGACTTTTTACTTAATCCTTTGTCCATTTTGAAGTATATGTCTCTTATCTTTGCTCTTAATTGTAGGTTACTCCCATATATCAAGGGAAATGTTGGCTTTGTACTAACTAAAGATGACCTCACTGATGTAAGAGACAGGCTTCTCCAGAATAAAGTAGCTGCCCCTGCCAGAGCTGGAGCTATTGCCCCAATTGATGTAAAGATCCCTGCCCAGAACACTGGTCTTGGTCCTGAGAAAACATCTTTCTTCCAGGCTTTGTCCATCCCAACAAAGATCTCTAGGGGTACCATTGAAATCTTGGTGAGTACATGACTAATAAAACCTCATGTCTATTGTCCACTCAGTGTGCCAAATATGACTGTAAAACACATCTGGTGAATAGAATTGATGGAGCACTTGCCATATTGGGTGATAGGAATTAAATCAGACACAAAGATCTGCAAAAATTTAAAACTTAACCACTGTCCTCCAACAGCGTAACATAACGATCATTCCGATCCGATTCCGATGATTATGCGATAAAACTTGGTTTAAGGAGATTACAAATTACCACTTGAATCAGCTGGTTGCATTGAAGTAACCATGGCTATTTTATGCTTACTGACTGCACCTATCCAGTGCCAGGCCAGTACTATACCCAGATGTTATAAAGGTTATTCCCTTTCTAAACCCAAGCTGCCATCTTGAAAAAAGGGGTGATCTTTCTCAATGAAAAATGAAAATTTCCTTGTTCTACCGATAAACCAGAGGTTCTACTACATAAAAAAAGAATCCTAAAATACTCAAGAGTTTATTGAGGCATGTTACTGGTGAAAAGCTTATGCCAAAAATTGTCAGCTTTTGAAAATAATAGGGGCTGTTCCAGTATTCTTCAAGACCACACTTAAGGGTGGGCGTGGCACAAGCAGATGTTCATGACTCTTGATTTTTTTACCGTGATATTTGAGTTTTACCTTTTCTAATTAACAAGTAACATTATTGTCAGGTTCCAATTTCAGAATATCTCAAGGGAAAGGGATTTTGAGGCATTTTTTAGAAAAAGCAACAGACCTATTTTTTCTTGATCAGTTTGTCATGCTGATAAAGATATTAAAAGATGACAGCTCAACGGGATGGCCATGACACTGATTTTTAGCGTTTTACCCACCTAGGAAAATATTTCAGGGTTTACTATAATAGTACAATAACGTCATTTCAAAGGGCAATATAGTGAAATATTGGACCAAGGGCCTCAAGGTCCAATATTTCACTATTTTGCCCGTCCGTCCGGGCAATAACTCAAATACCGTTGGCCCGATTTTGTTCATATTTTGTACACATATTCCCTATGGGGGTAGAAGTTCTGCTCGAAAGCCGATTTTCAAAATGGCGGCCATTTTAGTGCCAAATGTACAGTAATTTAGGTGCAATATGTAAAACTGTAATAGCAATATGTTTTAGATGTAAAAAAATTATATAGGACATTATAATAAAGCTAGAAATGAAGATATTAAAGAAGCACATGGCAGCCATCTTGAAAAATGGCGGCCTTTACTCGTTATTTTACGATTTTTGCTGTAACTCGAAAAGTAGTGGAGCGATTTTGTTCATATTTGGTATTTGAATACTATAAACATTGCACACTGTCTAAAGACACTTTTGGTAGAAGGTGGCCATTTTAAAAAATGGCCGCCATTTTAACCTGTTTTACTATAACTCGAAAAGTAGTGGAGCGATTTTGTTCATATTTGGTATGTGAATACTATAAGGATGGTACACTGTCTAATGACACTTTTGGTAGAAGGCGGCCATTTTTCAAAATGGCCGCCATTTTAACCTATTTTACTATAACTCGAAAAGTAGTGAAGCGATTTTGTTCATATTTGGTATGTGAATACTATAAGGATGGCACACTGTCTAATGACACTTTTGGTAGAAGGTGGCCATTTTGAAAAATGGCCGCCATTTTAACGTATTTTACTATATCTCGAAAGGTAGGAGAGCGATTTTGTTCATATTTGGTATGTGAATACTAAAAGCATGACACACTATCCTATGACACTTTAGTAGAAGGTGGCCATTTTGAAAAAAAATTTGAAAAATGGCCGCCATTTTAATGTATTTTATAATAATTCGAAAAGTAGTGAAGCGATTTTGTTCATATTTGGTATGTGAATACCGTAATCGTGGCACACTGTCTAATGACACTTTTGGTAGAAGGCGGCCATTTTTCAAAATGGCCGCCATTTTAACAAAATCGCTCCACTACTTTTCGAGTTATAGTAAAATACGTTTAGATTTCATTATCATAGATACTAGTATTCCGTAATTCCGTGGCGTGGACGGAATTTGACAAAACTTCAATTTTTTGCAGAATCCCTGATTTTCATGAAAATCCCGCGGAATTACCAGAATTTCCGGAAATTACATATTTTACGATCTCCTACCTTTGCGGGGTATTTGAAGAGTGTCTGTTTATGTCCAACAATCAATCATTATTGAGTACAAGTACATTTCACCATGAAATTCAACATTCTATCACGTTTAAATTCGCTAAAGCGAGTTCGCTAATGACGCGCAGTTCTTACCTAGAAAGGTGCTGACTTCCGTTTTAAAAGATTGCAGAATTTGGACTTTTTTTGAAAATTTGTGCAGAATTTCGATTTTCTCCTTGCAGAATTTGCTTTTTTTCTTGCAGAATTTTTTGCAGAATTTTGCATTATGATACATGTACTAAATTGAAAACTTACATATAAAATATCTTAAGTCCTATATTCTAGTAATAAATGAATTAGAATGTCACCTAACATTTGATGGTGTTTTGGATGCATTGATTTGGTGTCTATCAATACATGTTTCTAACTTAATGCTGCAAAATGATAAAATTGACCACATCCACTTTCTTCAATTTTCCAGGGGTAGGGCACTATAAAGTCATATTAAAATTACAAATAGTACTACATAATTAAATAGATGTATTTCAATATCGCACAAAGATTGGAAATGGTTTTAGAATACTACTTTGAGCTGTCAAAGCTGTCATATTTTGCATGAAGCTACAAATATAAAATTGGCAAGACAAAAATTGCGTATCTTTTTCCTGTTTATTGTATTTTTTCTTAGACCAATAAGGGTATCAACCTATACCGTTAGGATAGTATTCATATTTGTACTAGTACTAGTGTAGAAATCATAACAATAGCTCATATATCCTTTGATTTATGAACTAGTTTCATTAGCGAGATCAATAGTGCAAGAAAACAGGTAAATAGTTCCTTCATGGAACGAAGCATGAAACTTTCCACATATCATCAGAATACCATTCCCTTTGATTTAAGAGCCAGAGCCATTTTTGTGGTCCACTAGAATGATCAAAAAATAGTAAGTACCCCCTCCCACCAAATCCCATGGGGGTGGGGAGATATAGGAATATTTTTTTCATAAAGAAATGTCTTTGAATATGGTCATACTACAGTTTTAGTGTGCTATTTTCATGGTAAAGAAATTTTGCAAACATAACAAGATGATTTATCATTGATTTCCATCATTGTTAAAGACTAATCATGGGCGACGCCCACTTTTCATACCTTGAACATTTAGATTATTAAATCTCTATCATGGGTTGAACAAATGAATGTAATTCAGTTTTCTGGATAACACCAGATACCTTTTTGATGTTAGGTGCTATAATTAATCTTAACATTTGACTTTTTAAAGGCTTACACCATAGCACAACCCTGTTTAGAAGAAGAAAGCAAGCAACAAATGTCCCAGATCTACAACATGTATCCACTATTCTATGTACATGTATGTCGAGTCTCTATTTTCTCCTGAAGAGAACCTATGCTACAGATACAACTTTCCAGAATTTAGATGATGATGTGCTTAAATAGTTTGATGAATGGTGTGCTGACCCAGTGCCTAAACAGTTTGATGAAAGGTGTGCTGACCAACAGAATGTACCAGTCTTTAAGTTTTGATTTCCGATTATTTGAATCGAAATACTGTGCCTTAACTAAGTGTGGGCTATCAGAGAGGGAAATTATCTCCAGTCAATAACGCAGATGCGAGTAAGTAGTTACTAGTTTCACCACCAGGTGGCTCGTTCGGGTCAGATAGCATGGCAGGTATAGTAGAATGTTCCCTTTAACTTAAATTACATATGTTTTAGTGGTTCAATTTTCATATAACCCTTATGTATCTAATTGTTGTGTGAATTAAAATATGTCCAGTAAAAGAAAATTTTATCTGTCCAATACAAGAAAAGATATTTCTCTTTTTGTGATTTTGTAACATGGGGTCTATGGGGAATCAACCCGAGCTAGAAGTCACATTTTCAAAAAAATTAAATTTTCAAAGTTAATAAACAATTTTCGAAATCATATTTGTAGATGTACTTTTACATGTAGATTTCAAATATGATATCACTTTGACTGAATTTTGAATATTTAATGACGTAAATCAAGATTTTTTCTACTCACATCTAGTCTATTAGCAATCTTATCACCTGGTTTTTTGTTTTTTGACCTTGTCAATATGCTTGCTGAGTTCCAGTTCAGTATATCATCAGAACTCTAAGTTCAAAAATGGATAGCTTTTGGAAAAGTAAAAAATTAGAGATATCTCGCTTCTCATGAAATTGCAGCTGCCCTTTGACATGGTAGGACTATGTGTCTCCCCTTATTTCATGCCCCAACAGGTTCAGACACTATATCTGGATTCCAATCATTGAACGTCTTGTGATTTTATACAATAGAGACAACAATGAAATAACTGTAAATGCTGCAAGACAAGAAATGTTCACAAAGAAAACAGCTCAAATTGAGAACATCCCACCATAAGTTGCATAAGTTGGTTCCAGACAATTATACCTATGTCAGTCCTCGCTTCACCCTCACAATTGAGTTGGGAATCCATTACCACAAAGGCTGGGAAAATAATTTGGTTGCCAGTGTGGAAAACATTGCCCAAGCTTCAGATGCATGCCAAATGCTAGTAAAATGCAGCTGCAAACAACAGTGCTCAACAAAAAGATGCAAGTGCTTTTTTGTCATTCTAGTGAACCACAAAAATGGCTCTGGCTCTTAAATCAAAGGGAATGGTGTCCTGATGATATCTGAAAAATTGCAAATGTGCCCTCCCATCAAATCCTGGGGGGAGTTGGAGGGAAGTATTTTTTTGTTGATTTTTTAAATGTGATCTATATTCATTTTTAGTATGTTATTTTCAGTGTTTAAAAACAATTTTCAAGATTGCATCCGTATTTCTCATGGATATTCATTATTAAAGCCTGACCAAGGACGACACCCACTTTATCAACATGTTAATATACAAGTTAATGAGTCTTCTATTATGAATAGGAAAATCACCTAATAAGGCTGAATAAAATTGATAAGTCAGTTATTTATGTTAAGATGATAAATGCTTTAAGTAGGTCAATTGAAAGGCCACACCCCTTTTAGATATAAAGATATAATAATATATAATTCACAATTAATGATACATTATTTTGACTTTTAATGAGAGCACTTTATGAGCACTTTATGAGAGTACCTTATTAGGTATCTTAACTGCAGTTGTTCAAATATCCTATTTTGTGGATTTAAGCACTTCAACACTCTACACTGGCACCCAAATCATTTTCCCAGCCTTTGCTTGTGTAGTGTCTGATCCTGTGAGAGCATGAAATAAGGGGAGACGCAATTTCATTGGAAGTGAGATATTTCTAATTTTTTACTTTTCCAAAAGCTATCCATTTTTGAACTTTGAGTTCTGATGATATACTGAACTGGTACTCAGCAAGTATATTGACAAGGTCAAAAAACGAAAAACCAGGTGACAAGCTTGACTGGAGATAAAGAGGGAAATTTCCCTCTCTAGTAGCCTACACTTAGTTAAGGCACAGTATTTCGATTCAAATAATCTGAAACCAAAACTTAAAGACTGGTACATTCTGTTGGTCAGCACACCTTTCATCAAACTGTTTATCACTTCATTATCTAGATTCTAGACAGCTGTATATGTAGTATACGCTCTCTTGAGAATTTAGAGACTGCAGGCTGTGACTGTGGCGGCCTTTCTGGTTCTGGTTCAACCCATGAAAGAGGTTTAATAGCCTAAATGTTCAGCATATGAAAAGTGGGCGTCGCCCATGACTAGTCTTTAACAACTATGAAAATCAAAGAGAAACCATCTGGAAATAAAGAGGAAAATTCTCCTGTCCTATTAGCCCTCACATAGTCAAGGCACAGTATTTCAATTTAAATAATCAGAAACCAAAGCTTGAAGACTGGTACATTCTGTTGGTCAGCACACCATTCATCAAACTGTTTAGGCACTCGGTCAGCACACCATTCATCAAACTGTTTAAGCACATCATCATCTAAATTCTGGACAGTTGTGTCTGTAGCATAGGTTCTCTTCAGGAGAGTATAGAGACTCGACATACATGTACATAGAATAGTGGATACATGTTGTAGATCTGGGACATTTGTTGCTTGCTTTCTTCTAAACAGGGGTGTGATATGGTCTAAGCCTTTAAGAAGTCAAATGCAAAGATTAATTATAGCACCTTACATCAAAAAGGTATCTGGTGTCATCCAGAAAACTGAATTACATTTATTTGTTCAACCCATGATAGAGATTTAATAACCTAAATGTTCAAGGTATGAAAAGTGGGCGTCGCCCATGATTAATCTTTAACAATGATGAAAATTGATGATAAATCATCTTGTTATGTTTACAAAATTTCTTTACCATTAAAATAGCACTCTAAAACTGTAGTATGACCATATTCAAAGAAATTTTTTATGAAAAAAATATTTCGATATCTCCCCACCCCCATGGGATTTGGTGGGAGGGGGTACTTATTATTTTTGGATCATTCTAGTGGACCACAAAAATGGCTCTGGCTCTTAAATCAAAGGGAATAGTATTCTGATGATATGTGGAAAGTTTCACGCTTCGTTCCATGAAGGAACTATTTTTGCACTATTGATCTCGCTACATAGAACCCCCTAGAATATTTTCCTAGGGGGTAAAAATGCCAAAATTCAGTGTCATGGCCATCCTGTTAAGCTGTCATCTTTTAGTATCTTTATCAGCATCTGATCTAGTAAAAATATGTCTGTTGCTTTTTCTAAAAAATGCCTCAAAAACTTGAATTATTTAAATTGGAACCTGCATGTCTATTAAACAATATAGGGATGTATAGGAGGGTGTTTTTCCATGGATGATACTTGTTAGCTAGGGAAGGCAAGTTACATCTTTTGTATGATATCTTTATTGAAACTTTAAATAAGACACATCGCTTTATGGATAAAGTGATAAATGTAAAGGGTGTAACAATGCCCCGGATTTCACCTGATGCTAAGGGGTTGTCCGACAAATGCCATGTGGCCGACATTGCCCTTTTTTAACCAAATTATATAGTATGGGACCTTTAGAGATTTAAAGTAATTTTGTACTGGCCAGTGCCAAATCTATTTGGCCACTGGTAACTGAAATTTACTGGCCAAAATGGTTAGCAGAAAAGATTCTTATTTGCCACTTTGTAACTCTAGTTTGGACTTTCTGTCAAAGAGACATAGTGGCCATGCTACAGTGATGAAGATATTTAATAGTGAGCCTTTCTGTCACTACACCCCAGAACCTGTAATAAGGTGGACCCACTGGGGTGGACAGTAGGGCTGAGAGCAATATACTGCTTTACCCAGCAGTCTGAGTAGCATCAAAAACATTTGTGAGCAGCTTTTTATTATTGTTTTTCATTAGAGAATTCAGGATGATGTTATGCTCATTAAGCATTTATTTTTCAGAATGAGGTCCACTTGATTAAAGAGGGGAGCAAGGTAGGAGCATCTGAAGCGACTTTGTTGAACATGTTGAAAATCTCGCCCTTCTCGTATGGTCTCATCATCCAACAGGTGTATGACAGCGGAACTGTCTTTAGCCCTTCAATCTTGGACATCACCAATGAGGACCTACTGCGACGTTTCATGGAGGTGAGATGTACTTATTTTTGTCCTTGATCAAACAATCTCATGGCTGCCTTTGTTTTTGAAACATGATTTTTGAGTTTAATTGAAAAATAGAGATTGGGTTTAGGTGTTTTATAAATAAACCAATAAATTTACACTAGAATCTAACTTTCAACATTGACAACCATGTATTACCAGTTTACTGGATTATATTGTGGCTCTGTCTATGTGGCATATGGGAGCTGAATGTTCTTCACAGAACTTGAGGTGAATTCCCTTTCCACAATGTTGTAAACCAACTTTGTCCCCAATCTTTGGATTGGTGAGGGCATGACCTTGTATATTCCATAACCTTCCAACAGTCACGTGTGGCAATTATAAGGGAGATAAGCCATGCAAGGTACATTGTAAAGGACAGGTGGCGGTAAACCCCTCTTTTAGCCCCCCTACAAAACAAGTATATATTAACATGGAATTGAAGAGGAAGTATGACTTATTACTTTAAATATGATTTCTGAGAATTTTGACATTTGACCTTGATGGTGGTTAAAAGGTCAACTTTGCGAGATGCTATTTTTGTCAAGATTTTGCCGTTTTCTAATACAAGAAATGAAAGCAATTGGCTTAATTTTGATTGTGACTGACTGAAGACATGTGAATGGAAACAAAAATATTTTTTAATAAATTCTCACATCTTGAGAATAAATCCCCATATGGGTATTTTTAGGGGACTAAATTTTCCCGTTTCAAAAATGAATGTTCTTGTTGCCTTTTGAGACTCAAACAGTATCTGAAGCATGTTTTAAGAGTTGGGATGTGATTATTATTTTAAATGCCCATGGGCAATTAGGATAAAATGTCTGCAATTAAATGCACACAAGGGCACTTCCATGAGAATGGATTTTCTTGTTTCAATTGCTTCTCGCCAGTTTTCTAAACAGGTTTGCCATATTCTAAATAGTTATAGGGTCACTTTTAATAAATGCCCATTGACATTTGCTTTGGAATTTGAAATTAAATGTCTATTTGGACACTTAATCTAAGTTATTTGCCAATTTGCAGTTCCCATATTTGAAACACAAATAATTCAGAGAAATCCTCTTTCAGTAAATATCATAAAATATAAGGCAGCATCATGTATAAATAGCATGACACTCAAAGGACTGCCTAAAATAATTTCTACTTATTCCCTATTTAGAAAAACACTTAGGCCATTCAAAGAATTTTTTATAATTAATGTCACTAAATTCTATGTTTTCAGAAAAAATATTCCCATGTACTCTGTACTTGTAATGCATATAAATGACAAAGGGAAATGTGTTCCAAGATTGATTAAAAACTACATGTATATAAGCTTCAGTATTGTCTTCATTAACAATGTCATCAGAATCAAGAGGTGTGTTACTTGCTTTGCCACAATGTGTTATTGCATTTTGACTACAACTATTAAATGATATATAAAACCCTTTAAATAAATAAAGGTTTTGTAGTTTTTAATATAAGGCCCTTCATCAGAATGCCAACATATAATTAATTTTGAATGGCCTAATCTGTACATGCAGTTATGTAGTGTACATGTATGCCAGGTTAGCAGCCATATTGAAAACATAAACCAGTCAGCCTTATTTTCATCACAAAAGTTAAGTTTTAGTGGTGAGCCCACACTCCCACAAAAATGAAATTTGCAGAGAAGCTACTTTACAGTCTCTGCATCATACAGTTTCAATATCTTTTTTGTGGGAGTGTGGGCTGATGGTTAAATTTTCAATGAAAGGGAATGAGCACCATGCTAAAACTTGATAACAAAGTGAACAAAAAATGACAATGTTTTCCAGATTTGCAATTGTAAACTTCATACATAGCTGAATTTTGTTAATGTTCTACTCCGAAGGCTTGTATGCCATATGTTCCATATAATAAATTCTATATAATGATAAGTTTTGTTATTATTTTGATGGTAAACATAGTGTGTACCCATATTCAGACACCCTTGTGATAAGGGGTTCTTACTGCCAATATTTCAAAGAAACTGAAAACTAATGCCACCTTTTGAAATTGCACATCTCAAGAAAAAAGGTTTACCTACAACTTGCAATCGGTTTTAAAAGTAAATGGAAGAATGAGTTTTTTGGAAAAAGTCTAAGTGGACCAATAGTCTGTTAAATGGACCTGTTCTTTAGAGAATGAGAAAATTTATATTTTTACACATGTTACATGGTAAGTTCTAGAGCTGATTAACTTTCTGGTGGCCATCCTGGAAGTTTGTGGATAAATCTTGACATCAAAATTCCAGGAAAACCATTCAATGGATTTGTTTCAAATTTCTACACATATTACATGGTAAGAAGTTCTAGAGCTGGTTAACTTTTCAGCAGCCATCTTGCATTCTGGCGGCCATTTTGGAAGTTTTTAGATAAATCTTATTGCTATTCTAGGAAAACCACTGAACAGATTTACATCAAATTCTTACAAATGTTACATGATAAGGAGTTCTAGAACTGATTAACTTTTCGATGGCCATTGCATTCTGGTGGCCATTTTGGAAGTTTTTTTGTCATTGCGATTCCAGGAAATCCACTTATAATCAGCCAAATCACAGTATTCTGCATCAGTATGTTGCAAACAGGGTCAAATTCAGACATTAGAAAATCTTTTAAATCATTGTATTTTTTAAAATGTAATATGTTACCTTGATAATTCTAGAAGGGTTTTGAAGTATCATTGCAGTAAAAAATTCGGCATCATGTTCTTTCTATGACTAAAGGATCCGTACCCATTAGTGTACCTATAAGGACTTCGAAATTTTTCGAAAAGGGTAAAGTGGAATTCCAGTATTATTCTTATATAATATGAATCTTTAAGAAGTATATTTTCAACAAATCACAAAAAATAATATTCAGAATATGGTAAAAAGTTGTTTTTTACAGAGATTCTAACACATGTCATTCTGACTCTTAAAATGAGTAATTTTCACATATTTTCACAAAACCTTGAATAAAATCTTGATTTTTGAAGATACACTTAAATTGACTTATCAGTATAAAACTACATTGTGTCTGAGCATAATAACATTCACTAAGCAGATCAACCATGCATAGATACTTTGTAATCATATTGTTTTGAAAGGCACCCTATTGTGTTCTTGTTTTTAAGAATGGATGACCTTCTACAGTCACTGACAAATTGAGGTGCTTCCGCAGGTCAGACCCCCTCTGATTTCACCTTTATTGTTTAGTATCGACATTATTGCATAGTTCAAACATGAAATGAGAGAGGGTCCTGGTTGCGGAAGATATACAATGTAAAAGTATAGCAAAAAATTTAGTTTCAAAAAGTAGGCCATATTGGATCTGCCAGACACCAAGGCAACAAACTATCAGACAAGTATCAAATGGGTCAATTTATTTTTGATTTATCAGTCATGCATGCCTCTGAAGAGGATATGTTGCAGAGGGACTAAGTTGATATCCATTTAGTCATTAAAGGGACACTGTTTTTAAGGTAGTTCTCATACTAATGAACACTAAAATGTTTTAAACAAAGAATCAAATGGGTCAATCTTCTTTCGATTCATCAGTCATGTCTGTCTCTTGAGATGATATGTTGAAGAGACACTGAATTAATATCCATTTAGCCATTAAAGGGACACTCCTTGTAAGGTCGTTCTCACCCAAAGAAAAAAAATCTTTGATCGATCATTAATGCATGCCCCTGAAGATGATATATTGCAGAGGGACAGAGTCATTATCCCATCAAACGAAGTTCGGAGGGATATAGGGAACGCCTCCATCCTACGTCCGTCCATCTGTCCGTCCGTCTGTCCGTCCGTCCGTCCGGGCAGTTACTCAAATACCGTTGGCCCGATTTTGTTCATATTTTGTACACATATACCCTATGGGGGTAGAAGTTCTGCTCGAAAGCCAATTTTCAAAATGGCCGCTCATTTCAAAATGGCGGCCATTTTAGTGACGATTTTACAGTAATTTAGGTGCAATATGTAAAACTGTAATAGCAATATGTTTTAAATGTAAAAAATTATAAAGGACATTAATAATGCTACAAATGTAGATATTAAAGAAGCACATGACAGCCATCTTGAAAAATGGCGGCCTTTACTCGTCATTTTACGATTTTTGCTGTAACTCAAAAAGTAGTGGAGCGATTTTGTTCATATTTGGTATGTGAATACTATAAGCATTGCACACTGTCTGAAGGCACTTTTGGTAGAAGGTGGCCATTTTGAAAAATGGCCGCCATTTTAACGTATTTTACTATAACTCGAAAAGTAGTGGAGTGATTTTGTTCATATTTGATATGTGAATACTTTAAGCATGGCACATTGTCTTAAAAAAACTTTAGGGAGTAGTCTGCCATTTTGAAAAATGGCCACCATTTTTATGTGTGTTATTTTTTTATGTGTGCGATTTTTCAAAAATTTTAGAGGTTGCTACTTAAAAGCATATTATTTCTTCTGATGACAACTTGGCTTGGCCTTTCTGGTGTGTTGTTTTATGATATTTGCGCTTCGTTTGTAAAAATGCCAGCCATTTCTGTTTGATGGGATTCGCTACGCTTTGGCGTTGCCGTTGTTCTGGTTATCTAGTGGTTAAGGCATTGGTCTGAAAAGCAGGAAGTCTGGCTTCAAGCTGAAAAGTAGAGGTCTTGGGTTCAAACCCAGGTCACAGCACTTCTTGTGATTTGTCTTTGACCTATGACTGCTGACCTATACTGGCGATTACTAGAGTGCTGCTAACTCGATAAAAGGCTGGCACTGGCTAGAATTGTCTATGGTTCTAGCCAGGATAAAGATACCAGTTCTTCAACTCGACAATGGGAAGAACTGCTCTACCTAAGTGACTAATATGTCATGATATGACATCTAAAGAGTCGATAAAAGATATATATATATATCCATTCAGCCATTTAAAGGGACATTGCTTGTAAGATGGTTCTCGTCCTAATGAACACTTAACTATTTTTTACAAAGAATCAAAGGGTCAATATACTTTTAATTCATCATTCATCCCTGCCCCTGAATGTAATATATTGCTGAGGAACTGAATCAATATCCATTTACCCATTTAAAGAGACACTGCTTGTAAGGTAGTTCTCAACTAATGGGTCAATCTATTTTTGATTCTTCATTCAATTGCCTACCCCTGAAGATGATATATTGCTGAGGGACTAAATCAATATCCATGTAGCTGTTTAAAGGGACACTGCTTGCAAGATAGTTCTCACCAAGGGTCAATTTATTTTTGAATTTGTCCCAAAAGATGATATATTGCTAAAAGACGGAATCAATATCCATTTAACCATTAAAGGGACACTGCTTGTAAGATAGTTCTCATCCTAAGTCAAACTAAAATATTTTACTTCGTAATAATTATTATTATATGTTATACAATGGATAGATTAAAATACCTCCACTTGTTTGATAGCAAAACAATGGGTTTTAAATACCTCCACTTGTTTGAAAGCAAAACAATGGGTTTCAAACTCTCCTACATGCATGCACCTTTTCAATTTTAAAAAGCAACCATTTGACTTTATACCTTTAGCTTCAATTGAATTATTCTTTGAAAATGCCAAATAAATATATCATATATTGGAAACTCACAACTAGATTTTTAATATTTGAGTTGAATACCTGGGATTTGTGTTTTCAATATGTTGCCCTTTGTGTCCCACCTTTGATAATGATGTGTAATATGTCCTCTAAATTGAATATCCTAGGTTAAACCTACTGCATACCAAAGTGATACTTTTACTGAGATTCACAATTAAGATTCATAGATATATTACATTTTAGGGGTTGTTTTATGATTTGTGTTTTCAATATGTTGCCCTTTGTGTCCTACCTTAATGATATTTTGATATATCCATTGATTGAATGGTCAATATACTTAAAATAGTCATGAGTGAAGACTAACATACCCCTAACATGATATTTAGGATGATTTGCATAGTCAAACTTAAATGTACTGAATGACCTTAGTTTTAATCCCTAATTTTGTTTTGGATGTGTTCATAATTTATAAAAGTAACTATTTCTGTGTTATATTCAATGAAACCTTTGGGGGCACCTTTAGGTACATGGGGTAATGGATCCTTTGATTACGGATGTGACTTTAATATTTTAAACTGTCAGAACACCTAATAACAAAATCTTGAAAATTCAAGTAGCATGTCTTATCATGTCTTATATGCACATTATTCCCCCCCCCTCAATCCACTTCCCCTCCCCTCCATCCAATATTAATTTTTTCGATTATTTTTTGTATAACACATGGCAACTAACTTAAAAAGTAAAACTGAGCAATGTCATTAGTATTGTGATAACGTCCCTTATACCTATTTATTACAGGTCGTGTTGACCGATTTATAGCAAAAACATTGAATTTTGCACGTAGGTGATGATGCGCCTTTTTTAATAGATCTCATATCTTAGAAGGGTATCAGTTCAAAAAATACTAGATGACCTTAAATATTTTACTAAGCACTGCGCCTATTCATTTGGCAATTCAGTTGTAAATTTTCTCTTGAAAAAAATGAACAGTTTTCCTGCAGAAATGGCCTAATCCCCCTCGATGGTTTACTTTTAAAGATTTGCTTTCCTAACGATATCTGACAAAAATGTGCAGAATACTTTGATATGGCTGAATGGATTTGCTTTAAATTTTTACACATGTAACATGGTAAGAAGTTTTACAGCTAATTAACTTTTCAGTGGCCATCTTGCTTTCTGGATCACCAATCCACACTGCTATGTTTTACTTAGGTATGATATTGTTCACCCTGTGCCTTGTTGTTGTTTGAATTTAACCTGTTTTTCAATTGATCTGACCAAACAAGTCCATGGTATGTCTCTGGAAAATGAAGATTCCGTAACATAATAAAGCTCAGCAACATTTGAACTAATATTTAAGGAGGTCCATATGTCTTGCTTCTTTTGAAATACTGTTTGCTGAAAGAACTTTGGGCTTTTGAGTCTAAATATATCTCTCATTGTGAGGGGTCAAAAACTTCTACAAATCTACATGAAAAAGACGAATTCTGCATGAAATCTCTAATAGTTTATAAGGGACATATGCAATCAAATGCCTTACATTTCTCTTTCGACGTAACTGTTGCATATCATCATGAGTTACAAAAAATAGTATCATTCTATTTATTGTTTTATTTTATTTAAGGGTGTAAGGAACATTGCAGCCGTTTCACTATCCATTGGCTACCCAACTGTATGCTCTGTACCTCACTCTATTGTGAATGGATTCAAGAATCTTCTGGCCATTGCTGCTGTTACAGACATCTCCTTCAAGGAAGCTGAGACGGTTAGTATAAAGTGCCAAATTGTAAAATAAATCGATGGTTTTGAAAGGTCAGCTTTAAGAATCTGACCCCACTTGAATTTTTAGTGAATGCAAAATTAGATGTTAACTCTTTCATCCCCAAAGGGTCATATGTTATTTTTATGAAAATCAATTTCAAAATGACAATTACCCCCATATGGCCAGAATGGATTATTTCTAGGTTTACAGTAACTAATTCAATGTCAAATTATAATTTGGAGAACATTTAAGAGTTTGAACTAATATATGCTGAGATAGGGGTCATTAAGTGCAGTTGCCCCTTTGTGCTAAAAAAAGCTTCAGAATTTTTGTTTTCGGTCGAAATCAGATTTGATATTTGAAAATAGTGTGTAGTTCCAAAACACTGTTGGGATGCTAAAAGGGTGAACTTCAAGAGGGTTTGTACACACAGGTGCTGGAAATGTCAGGGAATTTTAAAATTGGGTCGAAAAGGATAGGATAAGGACTTATCCTATCCAATTTAGGAGACAACTCTTTTGATTAATATTTTTTTTATTCAAAAATAATATTTCATTTATCTGTATAATCTTAAATGACATGTTTTCAATACCAGTTGTTGTTGCCATTCTAGTTGCTGTTGATAATCAGCCAGATTTTAATTTCAGTTGAAAGAGTATCTGGCAGACCCTGAGAAGTTTGCTGCAGCTTCAGCTGCCAGTGCACCAGTCGCCAGTGCCACCACTGAGGCTAAGGAAGAGAAAAAGGAGGAAAGTGAGGAAGAGGAAGAAGATGATGACATGGGATTCGGACTCTTTGATTAAAACACCTACCTTTGGATCATATTTCATTTTTGTTGATGGTTAGATTGTACATGGACTGTTCCAAGAGTTTGATAATCTTTCTTTCATAAATGCCGGTTGTTAACAGCCATATGGCATCCAAGGAAATAAAATTTAGAAATGAATCTAGTTTTCTGTTATATTTTTATTTGAACATTAAGTTCTTATAAATGTTTAAACAGAGCTGCAACATTTTACACCAGTTATACACAAAAATTGTGTAAATTCACCTCTGAGCTTGTAGACCATCAGCTTCACCCCAAAATTTAGGTTATCGGTACCAAGTTAGGGGAATAATGCTCATAGTGATTTTTGGCAAGGTAAATACCTCCAGAGTAAGAAAATATGTGATAGCATTGCAGGAATGGTAGCTTATGGGTGTAATCGCCCATTTTTCAAAATGGCTGCTATTGCGCTTTTTACAAAATAAAAGAAATCATATCTTAGTATAATGAGAGGCAAAAACAGTGATTTTGAAGTCTATTTCTGGGTTTTAGGGGTCAAGGATTTCATTTATGTCAAAATCGAAGTCGTCAAAAAATTGCTTTATATAGAAATCCAAGATGGCCACCAAAATGGGTCTCAAAACAAATATGTTACCATTGATATAAGCTAAAAAAAAAAGCTCAAAGAACGGTTAAAAGGTGACTTTGGAGACCATGAATAGGTTTTAGAGGCTGAGAATTTTATTTGTGTCTAAAGGACGGATGTCATTAAGGGCCCTTTTTAGCCCCCAAAGATATCTGATAATAATGCATATCATATTGAAGAAAAATCATTTGTGCTTTATAAAAATACAATTTCAGCTAATTTTGACCTTTGATGTTCACACAACAGTCATTTAAAGATCATATACCATTTTTGGTGTTTTTACAAAAATTTCTTTATTTATTGTTGTCTAAGTAAATAATATATATATATATATATAAACCAATTTAAATATATTCAAATGTAATACAGTATATGAAATACTGAAGAAAAGATACGATTAAAACTATTTTCATGGAAAAGCACATAGGGCAATATTGGCAAAATGCAAATGCTATTTTGGTAGGTTCTGGGCTAGCAATGGGTACATTTCGACTGTGACTGTAATGGTTTACTCTTGACTTATATCAATATCACAGGGCAACATTTAAGCAACTTAAATACAAGGAAAATCAAAGATTTCCTCTCATTTCTAAAACTAGGAACAAAAGTATGAATTCAAGGAAAAGAAATGATGGCCTGTGTCAAAATATAACATGAGAAAGTTGTGGCACAGTAAAGGATATGTATAGGATATCATATGATTTTAAATGATTTCATCTTTATCTCCGAGTTGATATCAATATCTTGCCAAATTAGCATAGCGAATTAGCGCAGATATTGATATCAATGAGTGGATTAACACGATATCACGAAAATTCATAGGATGTTCTATTTACCCCATAGTCCACCTATAAAACTAAACTAAAACATATCAAAACAACACTCATTTATCCCCGTGATGTAACAAAACATCATATTGGTGGTAGTTTTCAAATCCCTGGCAAAAGGTGATATCTGTGAAATATTTTCCGTATTCCACAGATATCACTTTTTCCATGCATTTGCAAAATATCATAATAAATGTGTTTTCATGTTAGCTAACAGAATGGAACAGAGCTCAACTATGGGATAAACAGAATAACAAATAGGTAAATAATTGAATAACCACTCCAAAAATATTAAATATGAGCGTTTAAAGAAAGAATATTGAATATGAGATTCAAAAAGTAGCAACTCATGTCTCACATTACCCTAACCCCAGATCCTCGATGTCATATTATACTGTATATCAATGTTATTTGCAGGGAGGATTAAATATGGAGTGTATAGCAATACTCCAGTAAAATCGTTGTAAATTTCCACAAATAAATGAAAAAATTGCAACACAGAGTAAACCTAGTGTAATCAATACCCATTGGTAAGTAAAACAACATATCAAAAATCGAGAAAAATCTAAGTAGTGGAAAACCTTAAAATCACCATTTATACCCCATGGGATAATTTTATGAGGGGGTAATATGATAATCATTAATAATTTCTGTTACATAACTCTAATCACTATAAAATCTTCAGGGATCATGCGCCTATATATAGTGAGTAGTTTGAAATTAATTGGTCAATTGGTTACCATAGCAACACAATTTAATTGCTCAAAATCTTAAATATTTCGGGTAAATCTGAAGCTTCTTATAATAACAGATGTTGCCATTTCTCTTCAAATCATTTGAAAATGAACATTAAACTACCCTAAAAACATATTTGGGGAGTGTTTAATAAGATAACATGATAAATGTGATAAATTATATGATATCTTTGACCCTGAACTCTATTCTATTAGGTGACTACCTCTCTATCTACTCAAAAGTTGGCGTGGCACTTTTTTTTTTATTTTTACAAAATCAGTCACAATTATATTTATAGGGCTCATGGATATGGATGTTATTCTTTAATATGGTGAGTCTGTACATGATTGGTCAAGGGGTTGCCACAGTAACACAGAGCATAATAAACGCAAATAGTGTAGTGCATATGTTCTGAAAAAACTTATCTCATAACATAGAATATGATTCAACCTCCAGCGTATATGGTGTCCTTCAATACCAAGAACATGTCATCCAATAGTCTAATATGGTAGAACCTGAGACTATCCAATAGTCTAATATGGTAGAACCTGAGACTATAGAATAGTTCAGTAGAGCCTAAGTTGGTTCAGCCTCCAGAGTATATAGAGATGGTACAGCCTCAAGAGTATAAAATTAGTGCAGTCTCAAGAATCTAATATGATACAGCCTCAAGTAGTATATGTATTCAGCATCCAGAGTCCAAGATGATATAACATTCAGAATCTTAGATTGCTGTAGTAGTCAGAGCCTAGAATCAGTACAGCCTCCATAAGTTTAAGATGGTATAGCCTCCAGACCCTTAAATGGTACAGCCTCCAGACATGCCAGATATAACATGGGATCAGTCTCCAGAGTATAAGATGGTACAGCTTTCAGAGGCTATGATTGCTATAGCATTCAGAGCCTAGGATGGGTACAGCCTCCATGAGTCTAAGATGATACAGCCTCCAGATATAACATGGAATCAGTCTCCAGAGTATAAGATGATACAGCTTCAGAGGCTATGATTGCTATAGCATCCAGCGGCTAAGATAGGCACAGTTTCCACGAGTCTAAGATGGTACAGCTTCTAGATATAACATGGGTTCAGAGTCCAAGATGGTAGATCCTTCAGATCATTTGATTGCTATAGCATTCAGAGCCTATGATAAGTACAGCCTCCAAGAGTCTAACATGTACAGCCTCCAACCCTTAGATGGTACAGCCTATCGATATAACATAGGACCAGTTTCCAGATTCTAAGATGGTACAGCCTTCAGAGCCTAAAATGGTTCAGCCTCCAAAGTTGAAAATGGTATAGCCTACGACTAATATTAACAATTAGAGTCTAATATGGCCTCGTGAGTTTAATGGGTACATCTACTTCTATAATGGCTACAACCTTCAATTCCAAAAGTCTAAGATGACCCAGCCTCTATAATTTAAAATTGATACAGCTTACAGAGTCTAATATGGTACAACATCCAGAGTATAATATGAATTCAACCTCCAGAGACCAATATGGCATAGCTTCAGAGTTTAATTTGGATTCAGCCTTTAGGGCCAAAGATAGTACAGCCTTAATAGTCTATGATTTCTATGAAAGTCAGGAGTCAAATATAGGTACAGCCTCCAAGAGTCTAAGATAGTACAACCTACAAGAGTCTGAGATGGTATACTCTCATAGTCTACAATGGATACAGCCTCCTAGAGACTAGGATGATATCGCCTCCAGAGTCTTCAATGGGTATAGTCTCCAGAGTCAAAAATGGTATAGCCTCCAGAACCTTTGATGAGTTCTTGGAACAGCCTTCGAGAGAAGATGGTACACCTTCCAGATGCAGAGTTAACAATGAGTACAGCCTCCAAGAGTCTACGATGGGTATAGCCTCCAGAGCTTCTAGTGTTTAATGGGTTCATCATCCAGAGTCTACAATGGGTACAGCATCCATAATCTAGGATTGATACAGCCTATATAGTCTATGTTGATAAATCTCCTAGAGTATAAGATGTCAAGAATCACAATTTTGCCACATATAACATCAAAAAGTGATTAATAAATTGATATAAGATGGTACAGCCTCTAGAGTCTTAGAGGTTGTAGATTCTAGTGTTTAATGGGTACATCCTCCGAAGTCTACAATGGGTAGAATATCCATAATCTAAGATTGATACAGCGTACAGGGTCTACGTTGGTACATCTTCTTGAGTCTAAGATGTCGAATCACCATTTTGTCACATATAACACCAATCTGTGATTAATTAATAGGTCAGGAAATGCTTAGACAGATGGGCGGGCAGACGAACAAACAGAGCAGTATTTCAAGAAACAGCATTATTAGTTGGGTTACCATAGCAAACGCATATCAATATTATCCAAACCTGTATTTGTTAAAAAAGATCATACACTAAAACAGTTCTAAGGATGAATGTAATAAACAATTAAGATTAACAAGGATTGCCTGAAATGACCTCTACCCACGATTCACATACAATATGTTGTGTTACTATGGCAACCAATTGACAAAAGATATTTGGACTCACCATTCCAGATAATTACATATGTATTAATGACCCTTGTAAATATGATTCTGTCAACATGAAATTATTTGGAATTGTAATAACAAAAAGTGCCACGCCCACTTTGTGGTAAATTGAGCAGTAGTTATCAAACATGAGCCAAATATGTCATCCTATTAACCTATTTATCATGTTATCTTGTTGTAAACTCCTTCAATATGTATAACGCTCAACTTTGTGTTCATTTTGAAAAATTAAAAATGACAAACTACGATCTGTTTGTAGGGAAACGGTAGATTTATCCTTAATATTTACAATATTTTGCAATTA